TGAACATCTTTCTTAAAAATCGGATCCTTTTTTGCTCATCAAGGCGATAATGCCACTAAGACGCAATGGGCTACTGGGAATAAAAGAAAATGAGAAAACTTCAGATGTAACGGAAAACCCGATCCTAAACAGGAAACAATTGATAAGCTGCTACTCCTGTTCAAAAGACTGAGAACAGGACGGTAGGAAAATGTTTCCACTCCTGCTTCTTTCAAGTCTGTACAACATAGCGTCTGTTAGCTGCGAAAGTTTGAACTGGTAGAACTATGGAATGTCTTTCGTGTGAACATTTACCATAGAATAGCGATAAAATAGATTCAATATTGCAACGTTTTTTTTGTTTGAAAATATCTTATAGGGTTTGAAAAATATTCATCACCCACAAGACCGCGTAGATTTTAATAAAATGATTTTATGAATGAATAGTGCAGTATCTAAAAAATCTTCACATATCTCGTTTATTTTCATTTTTCTAATGCGTATTCAATATAAGGCCCAAGAGCAACTCGAGGTAGAGATTTACTGAATGATGATGATGCATGAACCTAACAAGAAAAGGTAAGATGTGCAGTGAAAGGTTAAGCCGAGACGTAAAAGGTTTAAGATTGTAAGGATTGGGAAAGCATACTATTGGGGGTCTTTTCCAGAAAACAGTAGCAGTACCTGGGAAGAAATTGAGTGAACTTCCTCCTTACAAATGGAATACGACGTCTGAACTAAAGAACGTACCTCGTCAGAAAATTTGTTATGGAAATAGTGAAAGAGTAGCAAGAAAAAAAGGAAGTGATTGTATGGTGGAAAAAATAATGCACATAATACCTCATCTCAGAAATATAGACAGATACTGAAGGGCCGAAACGTTGTAATAAGTATGGCGACAAAAATGAGGACAATAGTCCGAATAATGTAAATAGTGTACATAATACCTCATCTCATAAATACAGGCAGATACTGAAGGGCCGAAACGTTGTAATAAATATGGCGACAAAAAAGAGGACAATAGTCCGAATAATGTAAATAGTGTACATAATACCTCATCTCAGAAATACAGGCAGATACTGAAGGGCCGAAACGTTGTAATAAATATGGCGACAAAAAAGAGGACAATAGTCCGGATAATGTAAATAGTGTACATAATACCTCATCTCAGAAATACAGGCAGATACTGAAGGGCCGAAACGTTGTAATAAATATGGCGACAAAAAAAGAGGACAATAGTCCGAATAATGTGAATAGTGTACATAAGACATCATCTCAGAAATATAGACTGATACTGAAGGGCCGAAATGTTATGGTAAATATGGCGACAAAGATGAGGACAATCGTCCGAATAATGTAAATAATGTACATGATAACTCATCTCAGAAATATAGACAGATACTGAAAGGCCGAAACGTTGTAATAAATATGGCGACAAAGATGAGGACAATAGTCCGAATAATGTAAATAGTGTACATAATACCTCATCTCAGAAGTATAGACAGATACGAATCACATTATCTTGTGGTAGCGCATAGCTTTACTAACTGGTCTGAAATTTCTACGGTTACAGTGTATTTTTTTCAAGAACATTTTTCAAGATTTGGCATTCCTGATATCATCGTCTCGGATAACACTAAATAATTCACTGCTTACGAATTTAATGAATTTTCTAAAACGTTCTCGATTGAACATATTACTACTACGCCGTATTACCTAATATATATATTTATTTATTGATAATATTAGTGGTCAATATATATATATATATATATATATATATATATATATATATATATATTTATATATTTTATATATTATATATATATATATATATATGTGTGTGTGTGTGTGTGTGTGTGTGAGTTTTTGTGTGTGTGTAAATTCCCAAGAGGATAGAATCCAGGTAGAACTCAATGTCCAGGACAGAGTAAGAATATAATATAAAAGGCTCAAACACTAATATTCCATGGTTATAATTTATTACATTGGAATCGTAATTACGATCCAATTCTTCAGACCTATAAATTCAAAAAGAAATCGAAAAATATAACTCCGGGTGTAAAAAATAAAATTTTAGTGAGAGTGTATATGGGAGTGGGAAGCAAGTATGAGAGCGAAATGTATGAAATCTCTAGAGAGAGGGTGTAACAGAAGAAAGAAGAACAGGAAGGCCTAAAAGGGAAATTGTAATCCCACTTTCATTTTTTTTGTGTTCTTCTTTCTTCATGCGGCACTTTTGGAAAGTGACTGAAAACCATACCACAGGTTGACGCAAGCCTTGTGAGCATAATTACCTTGTGAATATGATTACCAAGTATAGTTACCAGAATAAGGAATCTAGTGGTTGACCCAAAATGAAAGAAATAAAATGTTTAATACGTTATGAAGTCTCCAGAAAGAGGAGAGGGGTGATTTTTTTTTTAAGCGTTTCACCCCAAGTAAGGCGGGAAGCCACCACGACGCAAGGGGTTACAGAAAATTTGGAGCAAGATCAGATAGGAGTGATAGAAGAAAGGATGAGGAGAAGAGTAGTGGATAGATCAAGGCAACTGGAGATACAGAGGCCAGTGAGAGAGAGAGAGAGAGAGAGAGAGAGAGTACCGGGAACCCCTTCCTAAACAAGAAACAAGGCGTAAGCCTCTACTCATGTCCAAGAGAAGGAGGAGGAGTGTGGACCGGGCGGTAAGAAAGCCTACCTTCTCCTATTACATATAACACATACAAAAACAACAAAAACAGAGGTAACGATGCGAGGGGGAGGTAATTTTCAAAGAGTCCTGGCTGACACTTGCATTTACCCTTTCGCAACATTAAGTTTTAAGTTTTAACTTAGTATAAGTTCCATTGTCTATTCTAAAAAGAAATTGAAGAAAATAAGGTTATCCGGATTTATTGCCATGTCATAATAAATGCCCCAACATACGTGGCAGCGAGTGTTTGTCCGCTTTCTTCCTCATGATAACAAGTGAATGTACAGCTTACCTTAAGTCCAAGCATCGACCTGGTGGCGGGGGGGATCAACGGCCAATCCACCGCCCTCACCAAATAGTGGGCTTGGGAGGCATGCTTTCAATAAAAATTAACAACAGGAGAAAGAACGGCGAAAACAATTCCAAGTTCAGAAAATTTATCAAGCAAGAACAGTCGGCCACTAAATCCTGAGAATACTGACGAGACACTTTCGCATCTATACAAAGACATTCAATTTTCCCCTTTTTTCTGATTTTTCTTTCGAACGGGTTTTCTAACTAGACCATCAAATAGGTTAGAATGATTAGGACAAAATGTGTTACTATGGGCAAACACACTGACGAGTAGGGGGAGAAAAAAAAGAGAAAAGAAATACAATAAAATAAAATTTAAAGATTAAAAAAAAATAGAAAAATAAAGAATTAAAGAAAATCGAAAAAAGATTAAAATGAGTTTTCGGTAGAGCGAAATTATACTCACACAGGGCAGCGAGTACTAAGAAAAAAAATAAAATATTTACTAATGAAAAAAAAATCTCAAAATGAAAGTGGGGAGTAAATAAAACACAAATGGGCTGGGCAAAGGACCTTAAATAAAGAAGTGAGTCAGTCGCAGTCTGCCCCAGGATTGCGACAAAATAAGACCAAACCTGTCTTAGGATTGATGGGTGAGAAGACCTTCATCTTCGGGAAGAGGTTGACTGTCTTCGAATAGAGACTCGGCTGAGAAAAAACAAGACCAGTTCTATATCCGAGCCCGCCTTGTCGTGGCATGGGTAAATTTTAACCAGTCGGTCGGTTGGAAACGCTTGTGACTTGTATCACATCTAGTCCACAGTGGGGTGACCAGTAAATACCAGTCCGTTGGAGTCTGACGAAGAGAAATCTAATGGCGTCACGGAGAGTAGCCTAAGTAAAACATAATACTATGACCGCTAGGGGTGAGTTACAAAACATAGATAGATAGATAGATAGATAGATAGATAGATAGATAGATAGATAGATAGATTGAAAAGTCTTTAATAAGCTTCAATAGTCTAATGCAGAAGTAGATTTATGAAAATAAAAAATGGAAGGGAGTGAGTTAAAAAACATAGATAGATAGATAGATAGATAACGAGTGAGAGAGAGATAATGAACAGATAGATAGATAGATAGATAGATAGATAGATAACGAGTGATAGATAGATAGATAGATAGATAGATAGATAGATAGATAGATAGATAGCGAGAGTGAGAGAGAGATAATGAACAGATAGATAGATAGATAGATAGATAGATAGATAGATAGATAGATGGATAGCGAGAGATTTTGAGATGAGGATAATGAACAGATAGATAGATAGATGATATTTTAGAATTAACAGACTGAAATAGATAGATAGATAGATAGATAGAATTACCAAACTGAGATAGATAGATAGATAGATAGATAGATAGATAGATAGATAGATAGCGAGAGTGAGAGAGAGATAATAAACAGATAGATAGATAGATAGATAGATAGATAGATAGATAGATAGATAGATAGATAGATAGATAGATTAAAAAGTCTTTAATAAGCGTCAATAGTCGAAGGCAGAAGTAGAAATTTTATGAAATAAAAGAACGGGAGGGAGACAGAAGTCTCCGCAGTTTAAATAAACGATTCACTTCATAATCTGTTAAAGTTAGCCAGATCGAAAAACTCCTGATGAAAACCAGAACTCACACCTACCGAAACGTTGCGACATTAACAGCAGAGATAATGAACATATTGATAACATTTCATTCCAGAAATACAGGCGGAAAGAAACCCAACCTAAAAATAACCTAAAATGTCATGCTAATGTGTGTGTGTGTGTACCTGAAGATATCTAAACTGAGTGGGGGGGGGTAACCTAGAACTCATAATGAGCAGTTAGCGGATAAATTTAAAATTTTGTCTGAATTGGCCTAGCAATCCGCACACGCCGGGAGCGAATAATAAAAAGAAGCCTTGATTGAATCGTGCAGCATCAAATTACATTTCTCTCTGTTCGATAAGACGACCATCACGTTTGACAGCATCTTCAGGTAAACTAATAATATAAGTGACATGAATAGCTACAAGCAGGTAGAGCGAGAGGTGAAGAAATAAGGACACACCCACGCACACACACACACACGCACACACACACACGCACACGCATACAGACGCACACACACACACACATACGGACACACGCACGCGCGCACACACACACACATATATATATATATATTAAATTAACTGATAAAAAAATATGATGCATCGCTACACAGGAATTACCGTGTTTCAAAAACAGAACTCAAAAAACTCAAAATTTCTTTATATAATTAGTTCTGTTTCATCTTCAAGCGAATTTTGGAATACTTATGATCTGTAAATTTACATTTATTTTGCAAAAATAAAAATATCAATAAGAACACGGGATTATATATCTTACTGTTCTTTCTTTTTTTACTATAATACACACACACACACATATATATATATATATATATATTAACTATAAGTATATATATATATATATATACATTAACTATAAGTGTTCATCACATCCCAGATGAATTCTGTGGACAAGACAAATTGGTATCAAATGACAATTGGAAAAAAATCTTACATTTTGCCGACGCGTTTCGTCTTCCGACTTTTTCAAGGCAAAAAACATTTCGATTTCATTTTTGGCTTGGAGAGTGTTCATTATATATATATATATATATATATATATATATATATATATATTCAAATTATAATTATATATAATTAGATATTATTATATATTTTTAAATATAATATATTTATATTAAATATATATCATTTATATACATTATATATAACGAAATATTTGTTGATTTACTCTTCTGAGGATCATTTTACTAATTTTTCAGATCTCAGGTCTTGTAGGGTTTATTATCTTTGTAGTCGGATTAGCCTCGACATCTGATTTGTGGTCTTTTTAAGGTTACATAGCATTCTCTTTATATATATATATATATATATATATATATATATATATATATATATATATATATTGTATGTATATATATTGTTATGCATAATTATTATTATCTATATATAAATTCTGTAAATTATAAAATATATATACTATGTAAATTATATATATATATGTATATATATGTGTGTATGTGTGTGTGTGCGTGTGTGTGTACGTATATATATTCATGAATTAAATTATAAGAGATAGATATGTATAAATGTCCTCCTTGGAATTATTAATATTTCCTAAGCTTTATTTTTCATTTTATTAATTATATAATTGGATAGTACTTGTGTATTTTATTGCATTGAACAATTTATAACTATAGCATAACAAACAAACTTACAAATTTGTTCTAGAAGCGTCCACAAACTTGTAGAAGACTCCAGAAGGTTCTAGAATGTTCCAGAAAGTTCTAGAAAGCATCACACTCATAGTTTTACTATATTATATACGATGCTAGAAATTTCGTGTTGGGGTAACTTTGTAAAAAAATAAACTGAATTAAAGACTTCTTGGTTATTTTTTATCAGAGGCTCATCTGATTATGGTACAGGAAATCAATTATTTTACAAAAAGTAAAACATGCCGTAACTCTACGTTCTAATATATATATATATATATATATATATATATATATATATATTGTGCATTTAGGCAGAAATCATTCGGTTATACATGTTAAAGACGGCAGACAAGGTACTGCGGATTTTATTTAATTTTTTCTCTTTTCGAACAAGTTTTATCTTTTGTGGACACAGTGTGGGTAGAAACTGTCGAAATGTTCTATAATTCCAAGCGCTTACGGCTATACTTTTAGCCATTATCAACGATGATATTATTTTTGCTTATTAATTGGGTGTGTGGGTTGCGTGTATGTTTTTAGTGTTAAAGGGATGTTTTATTTTCCAAACACATCTGACAAGACAAATTCATTAAATAAAATGAATAGAATACTGATAAAATGTAAACAGTATAAAAATATCTATTAACGTATCTGTCGCCAGAATTTGATTTTATCGGGTTTAATTGGATACAAAATTACGAATTCTTGCATGATTAGAATTCTTCCGTTAAACAGAATGTTACTAAATGGCGATCTGTGTTTAACCTTTATTCTATCAAAGATCCGGATGTAGGTTATCAACTTCTCCCTTACGCTAGATATACATACAGGTTCGAATCCTGTCGGAGGGCACATATTCTTTATTCGATTTTCTCGAGCGCGTAGGTCGATAGTCGAAATAAATAGCGTTTTACAAAAAACGAGGCGTCTATTCAAATACGGGTATCCACTAAAAATAAAGTTTAATGGAATAAAAATATGTTTGATTAAAAAATGAAATTATTCAATTCATTATACGCACAAACACAGTGTGCGATGAGTCGCCATTTTATATTTTTAATTCCGCGCATGCGCGTTGTTTGTTTTTGATTTTGACAACTGCACAGTATAATAGGGTCAGTTGGGCACCGTCTGTGAGAAAAAGAGCACCCTGATGCAATTCACTCCTCCAGAAATTTGGAAACGGCTGGCTGTATTGGTTGTCATTCGCGCCGGAATCTCCAAAACGTAAATTGCAGTGTGTTTTGGGTGTCAACCTGAGGATAGTGCAGAGGATTCCGAAAGAGTTAGATGATTCCAATTGTGATTACGAAGCTGTTTTAAATGATCACTTGTGATGGCGGCGTTATGCCTCCATTCGTCTTCCCACGGAGTCTTAGACTCAACACGGGTACCTAATTTATGTGCATTAAGGTTCCCCTGAGTCAAGAGGGTGGCTGCTGGGAGATCCTATGTCTGGCAACAGAACTCCACCATTCCAGACAAGCAGGAAAAATCAATCATGATTGTCTCTGCGACCACATCACCCCTTACATCTCACCACCTAACTCCCCAGGCTGCAACCCTCTTGATTATTATGTGTGGAGTGTAGATGAGCAAGAGACCAACAAAACTCCTTGTAACACCAAAGGTGAACTAAAGGCAAGGAGTATAACAGCATTGACCAACTTAAAAAAGAAAACCGCCCAGGAGAGTTGCAAGAGATTATGAAGTCGGAGGTTGTGAAGCCAATGGTGATTATATTGAATAAATTTACTCTTTAGTATTTCAAGATATTTTTGAGGCATTTTGCTAAATATATGTTAAATTGAGATGTCAGTGTTATTTTCATTTTTGCAGAATTTAGACAACAGTTTATCCATCCCACCATGTATATATCACAACACTGCTAAAGTTTATGTCCGATTTTCATTGATAATATAATTAACCGCCACTTGATACTGGTAATACAACCTTGTGCAATTTAATTGAAAGAAAATTAATAATTTTCTTTTTTGTATTCTTCCAATGAAACATGACTCCGTACACATGTTAATACTTCGTATATCCATTCCACGAAGTCGTTCCTTGCAGATTGACCATAGATTATCGACTGGATTTAAATCAAGAGTTTCCGGGCGAAGCTATAGTACTTTGATTTGCTCACTGGTAAGGGTTGCCAGTGTGTTCGTGCAACGTTGCAATTTTCGTACTCCCCCTTGAAGTAATGTCCATCGCAGACAATGGCCGTGGGACAACTAATCGACAGTCGAGACAATAGTGTTTGTGCTTGAAGAAAACCTGGTGCAATCACTGGTGACGCAATATTTTTCAAAGCCAAATTTCATCATACACCCCGAAAATAGAATCATATTACTGCACATCACTGCAAATGACTTCATCTGAGAAACAAATAAAAATCGATTACGCCCTGTCACTCCAGTAGGTCTAAATCGGACCGTAGAAGTTGGGCAACTTCGGCATATTGTCTTCTATGAATTTCGGAAAGTTTTAAGCATCGGAACTACGAAAAAAATATTCATAATGTTTATTTGGATCCTGCTCCATGTCTCCGAAGGGTTGAAAAGTAGTTTGGCAGATTTCATCGTTGGTAACGGGGAGGCGTGATATTAAGCGAAACCACCAACCAAATCCCGGGTGAACTTCCATTGTCAATGACGACGTTCTGGTTGGCGTGGTGGAGAATAAACCAAATATTTCCACGGAAGAAACTGCTAACATTTTGGAAACCGATCCAAGTTCTCCACTGCCGTAACCGGGTATTGTCCTTGAAGACACATGGCACAGTAGATAAAGGCGTTAGTTAGATCCAGTGACAAAACGCAAAGAGTGTGAGTTCAATACCCGGTTAAGGCAGTGGAGAACTTTCAGAGGGAAATTAACAGAAGATAACTGATAACTGACATCAATTAGACATGACACGTGAAACTAGGACAGTCTACTCCAGTGAACGAAATAAAGGATTCAGTTCGACATTCAAACCACCTGAAGAAGGCAGGAGTGTACAACGGCTGAAACGTTGTAATAAATATGGCGACAAAGATGAGGAAAATAGTCCGAATAATGTAAATAATGTACATAATACCTCATCTCAGAAATATAGACAGATAATAATTTTTTTCTTTGTTAGTATACATCATTTTTTTTTATTTTTCTAATCGTGCATTAAATGTTGCAATTATATAATATATAGTCCGATGTTATGTTTGACCTGCAATATCCGGCGACGACGGTGCTGTCAAGCGGTATTGGCCTCCAACTTTCCCTTGGACAACAGCTGTGGCATGGAGAGGGAAGATATTCTGGATGGTCAACCTTTGATCTCCCATAAAACACTACCCAGGCCGGCGCCCTTGTGGGGACAAATCCTCAGCGTGCTGCTCTACAGCAGTGAGATTTGGGGCATCTACTACAGGAGCGACGCCTCGGCACCTTTCAGCTTCTCAGTCTGAGACGCGTTCTAGGCATCAATTGGCCCGACCGGTTCACCAGTGCCATAGTTATCATTCGTGCCCAGTTACCCAGCTATCGCTGGAGGACGTCTTCACATACAGTCGTCGCAATCTAGACTGCCAATCGCGTGTGAACCTGTGCCGCCATAACAGATCCTGTGCAGCTATCAGCAGCTGAGGCATAACTCTTTGGGCCCGATTCTTGATCTCTAGAGACCGATAGATGCCACATGTAATTAATTTGGTAGG